AAAATAATCCGTATAAACTACGTTATAAACAAAAAATTGTAGGATTACTTACCGAGTGTGTACCCTTTGACTACGCTCGTTGCTAAAGCTTGGTTTCGTCGCGGAACAGCGCATCAAATTGCGGCCGCGATTTCTGATATTATTTTTCTGCGAAAACTTCGTTGACCTTTGGAGACATCATTAATATAAGTAATTTTTATGGCCGTTGAATAAGAAATGTTTCTTTCACAAGAAATGTATAAAATTACAGTACTGTATTAGACTTACAATACCTAATTTACATACTGTACAGATGATAGTAAACAACTTACTCGCCTAAACTCTCCATAGCATGGCGCTGGATGGCAGAAAGTATATATATAATTATAATAAAGTTACAGTAAATTAAGTTAATATATAATTATATATACAGTACCTAATTTATATATAATTAATATATAATTATATGTACAGTACCTAATTTATATATAATACTGTACAGACGATAGTAACTCAATTTACCTGCCTAAACTCTTCGTAGCATGGTGCTGGACAGCGGAAAGTAGTTTGGCTGCCCGATGACGTTTTACTGAATTATAGGAGTTTTTTTACCATGTTTGTACAGATACCGTCGCAATTTTTTCGCCGTCATATAGGAATCCGAACTATAGGAACCCATGTTATAGGGGGGTCGACTGTACTTCAAAGATAGGTATGGATTAGTTTTCAAGAATATATACAGAGAAAGCACAGACACTGATGACTGTTATAGAAGAATGGCTAAAGTAAAAGAAAACTATAACTAATATAGTCAATCTAAAATTTAAAAAAAAATCTATTGGAATCTTAATATTTTAAAAACTGTTAATGGTTAAGACATTGGTTTGAAAGTTAAAAACTGCTCTGATAAAAAAGATCTAAAATTACAGTGAAAGTATTGTAGCATCATCAAACGTGGATTATTTTGATGAAAAAAATTCTTAGTTATTTGCAAGTCTAAAAAGATCCCATCACACAGCTGACTGCCATTATGGATCTGACTGATTCAATGATGGATATGATTAATACAGCTTCTTAACGTCCAAAGGACAAAAACGAGTTTACATCCTTGCTTTACTTAAATAAAGACATATCTTACATAAGGAATTCTTTTCCCCCCTTGTGATTTCAAGCATTAATGTTTCTGCACTGAAAGAAAATACATTTTCCACCAATCTAGAATACACCTGCAAATTGATAAATGCTAGCCTGTCAATATAATGAATACTGTCATATAGTAAACCAAGCCTGAATTATATATTATAATCAAATGAGAACACCAGATTTATACATTTACTTAGCTATAACCTGACAAATTAAATATAATTTATACTGTGTGAGGATAAAAACTTAAGCTGGCAGAGTAAAAGCTTAAATTGGCAACAATCTACAGAATAAGCAGAAGTTCAATTCTTACTCCAGACCAATCTTTTTTTCCAAAATATTCTAAATTAATTAACTATAATTATTAACTTTCATTCAAGGCAGAAATTTAATTGTCCACCTTTAATTCAAATTACATATTATCTATATATTTAATTTTTCAGTCCTGATAACAAATCATGGCAATATCACTTGATTATCAATGTTTGTTATTTTCAGTTAGTTTCAGTTAGTTATTTTCAAACTTGCTGTAGGCAAATTCAACTAAGAGACAGACAAAATGTATTGGTAAAATTGGCAATATTCTTAAGAAATAACATGTTAGAAACTTTTTTCTAATGATTTATATATTTCATACTTATTAGGATGGAGAATTCACTGAGTTCAACGTTATAAATGCTTTTTTATCGCAAGTACTTTCAACAAATTTATAATCGTCATCAGGTGAATAAATATGTTAAAAGAACGTACAGAATATACTATATAGTATATTCCGTAAATTCATCGAAAGTACTTGCAATAAAAAAGCATTTATAATGCCAAACTCAGTGAATTCTGTCCTACTATACAATATTTGACGCGAGTATTAATCTATAGTACTTTTCATACTTTCAAAACAAATCATCACCAATCAAGAAAAATTCATTTGTCACAATGTAAGAGATATAGTAACAGATTTTCAGTTACACTAACAAGTAAGTTCATATTATAATTATTAGATGATGTGTAAAAGTTTATATCTATAAAAAAAAACTTTTTACAAAAAATTTTTAATTTAATTTATTTACAAAAATTGATGACAATCAATTTTTATAAATAAAAAGTTATTATTATTATTCCTGTAAGAAAGAATCTTACATTACATTTCAATACTTCATTTATATTTTTTGTTAATATTTAAATTAAAATAAATCTTACCTTATAGCCCAATGGCCAATGGATGAGGTAGAGATCAAGGTAATCAAGTTTCAAAGATGACAATGATTTATTCAGGCATTCAAAAACTTTATCCTTACTATGAAAAGTATTCCAACACTAAAAATTGAAAATTAAAATGATTTCTATGTTAAACTTTAAAATATTTAATTTTAGTTTTAAACTTCTAACTTATTAAAGAAAAGCATTTGTTTTAATTAATTTCAGAAAGTTTACAAAATACAAGTTGTGTAACTTTCCCAGCAAAAAACATTAAGATACATTACCACAAAGTTAAAATTGTGTGTGAAACCATCTGTTGTGAGATTGTATTTAAACTTTTTATATAATTAATATTATTGCTTATTTTTGAGAATAGAAATAAATTTTATAAAAAAATTGTAAACACTAATAACAATTAAAATCTTAATTAATTAATTACATATGACACCACTTGAGAGATGACACATAATCTGCTCTATCAAACACTCCCTTGACTTTTATGTGAACCATGAAAATTTAATAGCATCAATGGCTCTTATGCCAAATTTTGTTTATTAATCATACCCCAGTCAGATATTAAATGAAACAGATGCCAACACACACAATTTTATTCCCCACCTTTTTTTGACTATTTTGGGTTCAGGGGTCTCAAAACATCAAGATTTGCAAAAACCCAGAGGGTCAGATTTGACATGATTTCAATACTTTCCCATGTTATATACATAACAAGACAGGAATAGTAAAAAAATATATATATTCTATATTACAAACAATTATATTTACTTAACAAATTTTGCTTTTAAGTTTTGAGACTAATTCTACAATAAATTTTACTTTTATGGATCTTATTAATTTTTAGTTAGTTATAAAATTAATTTATAATGTAATAAAATATATTTTGAAAAATAAAATCTACCCATTTACAAAATATTTCATATTTTTCACTATTATTATTAAAATAAAAAAAATCATTTATGATTCAAGTTATATTTTAAGCTATATATATATATATAGCTTAAAATTCAATGTCATGTTGATGATTAAATAAAAATATATATATATATATATTTTTTTTATTTCAATATATTTTTTATTTAAAAGAAATAATATATTTTAGAGACATTGAATTTTAAGGCAAAAGAAACAATAATTGCATTAAAAAGACAGTTTTTCAAATATAGTTTTATTTGTAGCTGTTATATTTCTATTCAAACGGGCTTATTTCTTTTGCATTTTGCAGTATTTCTCATGAATATAAGTAAAATAAAATTAGAAATGTTTGTTAATATAAATTTATTTTATTAAACTTACTTTCAACATTTGATCTTCTATAACAAGTTTTTAGAAGATCAAGTAAGAAGTCTTTAAGGAAAAGAATTGTATGGCATTACAAAAGCTAATATACACCCACAACTGCCATAAATGATCAGGCAAATTTCGATATAATGATTATAAATTAGAAATGAATTTGGCACTAGAGTGAGCCGTTAGGCACTATCTCCTATTAAAATTAATAATTATAATATTTAATTAATTAATTTAGATTAAACTGGAAGAAAATAATTGGCCCGAAGTGGGACTCAAACCTGCAATCCCCAATTACCATCCATGAGTGCCAAATTCATTTCTAATTTCTAATCATTATATCCAAATTTAACCTGATCATTTACGGCAATTGTGAGTGTATATTAGCTTTATATCGTGTTTCATTTGTTGTGTACATTTGTATATTACAAAAGCTAGATATCAGTTTAGAAATGAACCAGAAATTATAATTATAAATGTAAATACTAATGTAAAAAAGTAAATAACAAGTTTCAGAGTATTTCAACTCTATTAGCATTTATCATCTTAATGTTTGTTTTTCTCCTGGTATAATTAATAATGTTAAATAACCCTCAAAACCATCTAGGTATGTCCTATGATATTCAGTAGTGCTCTACACTACAGAATGCCACAATTTTATTGGTTGAATACAAAGGTCCTACTGTTGTAGAAAGATAACTTTTTAAACAAAAGATATAGTTTTTGACCTTCTGGATGAGAGAATGATTTTTTGGAAAATTTAGTTGCATTTGCTTTTATACATTTTTTAATTTATACATTTGAAAATTACCATCTTCAAACGTATAAATTACAAACACACACACAAAATCTATATATATATATACATATAAAGAAGAAAGTCTGTCTATCTGTTTCCATTTTTCATTGTCTTAATTACTTTTTATTATATACTTTCAAAATTAAAATAAGAATGTTTTCTGTTTCTTGATTTTCCATTTATTTGCATAAATCAACAAATATTAGCTTAAACTCTTTACTTTTTGCCATTTACATTAATTTCATCTTTATCAGTTAATTTCACTGGTTTTTCACTAATGCCGACATCATCACTCTTATTCACAGTGATCTTTGTAGTTTAATCTGAACCACTTTATTTCTTTATCAGCATCTGCAATATTTTATTTTTATATGATTCATAAAATAAAATATTTTTCTGTTGACTCATAAAAGCCAGATTAATTAACATCAAAATATATTGTTGCCACACTAAAGTTATTTTATATAATCCATATGATTATATCAATCATCTACATTAAAATACTAATGTATGATCAAATGTGAATGAACACATTTGATTAAATATTTCACATAATTGTGAAAAATGCAGTTTTAAATTTATAGACACTTTGAATTTTTGTCCAAACTTATCTACAGTATCTAAAACTCACACAATTAAAACAAATTATACCTACTTTACTTGTTATAAACAAATCATCTCTTTTAACACTCCCATCTGAAATTTTCTCCTGTATGGCATCTCCAACTTCTGCTTCATTTTGATAAGCAAAAGCACAGTCAAAATGTCTATAACCTGCATCAATGGCATCTTTAACAGCTTGTTGCACTTCTCCAGGCTTGGACTATATAAACACATTACAAATTCAGTAATAAAATTAAAAAAATAATTATTAAAGATATAACTTTCTTCTATAGAACAACAAATCTATGTTTACTGTTCTATAGAAGAAAGTATGTTTTTGTATACAAACACGCACCTATACATGTTTGTATACAAAGAACAAAGCAATATGCCTACAACATCTGAGGAATTCTTAAAACTTCAGTTTAAGTCATTGTTATTTAAATTATTGGATTTAATCTACATATATAAAAATGAATGTGTGTGTGTGTGTGTCTGTCCTTTATGCATTACCACACCGTTTATCCGATGGCCGTGAAACTTTGGGAAGTTGTTTAATATACTCCGGCGAAGGTTTGCGGCATAGTACGATTGCCATAAAACTTTTGGAAAGTTTTTAAATTCACTCCCACGAAGTACATTTATCCTACGATAGATGGCGCGCGTTTACACGAGCATTCGAGCACTGTGTTAGATCGATTTCAAATTGTGAAGACCATTTCTCCCCCTTCAAAAAATATCTCTATATATGCATTTGTAAACTGTTATTTACGATATTTGTAATAATTTTTGTTTAATCACTTTATTTCAACTATTTTTTGCTAATTATGTATTCGCTCGAACTTTGTTAAAACCTTAACCGTATTCCAAACAACAACCGAAGTCGTTGGAGGAAATTCGCCTATTTTACCGATCTAGGATCCCCCTTTCCCAAATTTTAATATCGACTCAAAATAATTTAAAAACACAAATTACAATAAAACGGTTTATTATCCAACTATCAGAAATTCCACAACATGCCAAGGAAGAGAGGAAGGAGCAATTAAATAATCATAATTATAAAGGATTTAAAAAAATTATATAAAAATGAGGAATATCGCACTTCTAACAATCTCTGTGTGTATGTGGGCTAAATTTAAAGAATCCGTGCTTCTCACATGTACAGTACAACTGTATGTGGCCTGTTCACGCGTCGGAAAAACTTCTGATTTATTCGTGTACGCATCAGACAGAAAAACAAAAAATATCGTGTATCCACAAGCACTCCAATAAATAAATAGAATTGAAACGACACTTTGAAATATTTTCCCAATTAAAATGAATAATAATAATAATATAATACTAAGTTTCAATAAAAATGATAAAATGTAAATTTAATTTTATCATAACGAAACTTCAATTTCGTTTCTTCTGAGATCGCAGGAATGCGCGACAGGTAAGCTAGTAATTTATATAGAAAGGATTATGCCATTTTATTTCATTTTCTCTAAAAAAACAAAAAAAATATTTGAATTTCATAAGTTTGAAAAATTAGATTAGATTCAGATGACAAAGCAGTCCTTTAATTACATGAACACTTTAAGGGAGTGATGGAATCACAAAAAATACATCATCATACATGATGGGAGAGGAGGAGGAGTCAAATCATTGTCTACATCAGTGATTCCCAAACTTTTTTGAGCCACTGTTCCTCTTGGATCTATAAAGTTATACCCAATGCCCTCTAACCCATTTTCCCTTGTGTGAGAAAGGCTTGGAAACATTCTTAGGAAAACTTTTCTATGAATCTTACACTTTGTGTCCTTACAAAACATTATTCTCAACATCTAAAAGCCATTAAATGCAATGTTTCTCCTTTCCCATTTTAACAGAGGAAAGGGAAAGGTTGTCAATGACCCAACCTTGGCCTATGGTCATTGTTTATAACCCTGCCGCCCACTTGCTTCTTTTAGCCCTTCCTGATTTACTCATCACCCACATAGGGCGGTAGCACCCAGTTTGGGAACAACTGGTCTACATAGACTTTTTTAATGGTATTAGTGTCATGTGAATTTGCACTTGTGAGCCTACTTACTATTCATGTTAATAAACAATCAGTTTAAAAAGTTTCTAAATCATTTCTTCAATGCTAGGATGGTCCAGAAGACATTATACACAACAGGGAGGAAGAGGGTCAAAAGTGATAGATAAGATAGATCTATTTATTCATTATACAGAGAATTAAAACAAAAAAAAAAAAAAAAAAAAGCAGCAATAGTGATGACAAATACAAGATAGAACTGCTATAATATAGTAGTTCTATCTTGTATTCAGTCGTCATGTTTATTAAATAATTATGTTTACCACATTGGGCTATCTCCTTATGGATGGAACATAGGGCCATGTCATATGTGACTACTAAATACAATTTATGCATGATCAGTTGGTTGATTATGCTGAAGAGCTAGTGTTTTGATTTGTATTTTGACAATTGGTGTTGGATTTTAATATACACTAATCAAACAATACAGCCAGATACATATCGGATTACAATAAAATTAACAAATAAAGCAAGCTTGTAGTAACTTTATATGTCAGTAGAACTAATTATGAAAGAAAAGTTGATTAGATCAATCCTGACTATTTTGGTATTCATTACAAGTGAATGACAAAGTATTTTGAAAACAGAAATGACATTACACAATATGAAATTTTGAAAACTCATTCATATTGATTCTGATGTTAATATTTGAAGATATGAATTTTAAAACCAACATACAATGAGAAAACTTCATATACAAATCAAGCTCTATTCAGTAACACAAATTTTAGAATGCTGCAGTTTTGCTGTATTTACACCATAAAACATCACTTCAAATGGGAAAACAGTATACCAGAAACAGTATAATAAAGACTACTGTATTTACTTATAATTTAGAAGCATGCAGTTACTGGTAATCCTAACTCTGAGAATTATGACATTTTTCTATTTACTACTATAGTCCATGCAGCAAAAGCATAGACATGAGTCAGCCTGATCTTTATCATAATTTTATTGTTTTATTTATTTTTTTACAAATTTTATTAGTTATTCCTAATTCTAACATTATTCATACATTAACCACATGTCTCTTTTCATCAAAAAATAACATCCCAATACTGGAAATATTAATCTGAGATCTACTACTTCAAAACCAAAGAACTACTCACTTTGTAAAGCAAACGTTTTCGTTCATTTTTGAAAACGACATCCTCAGGCTAGTGTTCTAAAATTTGAATCACAAGCGTTTGGAACAGATTATAAACTTTATGTAGTCATCAATGATTGGAAGATAGCAGTTGATACACTGATTGGTGGAATGTGCACTGATGAATTTGTGTATATTTTCCATGGGTTTGGGATTGCACTATCCTCTTTATAGTTGATGGCTTTTGGTTTTGGGCTGTCCTGTATATCTCCATTAACTCCAGATATCTGATATGTGATCTACCTGCTGTTCTATGTATGATTTTGTCTCAGTCGAAATGGACCATCTCCTTTCATCCAACATACTCTTCCATTAAGTCTGACTCACATCTACTCTTTTGCAGTGCAGACATTAGTTAACTGCCATTTACAGTCTGTCTACGGAAAGAATGAACTTGAGAACAATGTCACACACGATGTTGCTTCAGTTAAAGCAATCAGTACATTCCCTAATAATGTCAGCACTTTTTGCTTAATATGTCAGATAATTTGTGAATTTTATTTTATTTTCTCTCACTAGATAACAGAACAACTTTTCTATTAATTGTGTTAATTTTTTATAGGATACACTTAATAATTACTACAGTCAACTTCCTCATATTCCAGTACCAGAACATGAAGCTTTCAAGAGGAAGAAAGTGAAGAAGCAGAGGATAGTAGTAGCAGTGAAGCTGAAGAATCAACTTCTAGTGATAATGAAGAAGAAGAGAATGTTTTTGATATATATAATGTCACTGTTTATAAAAGCAGTGACACGTTTAACAAATGACAAGGAAAGCAGAAATAACTTGCCACAACTAAGCGATCAATGGCCGACACCCATTGGTTAATATCCAAATTGATTCTTTCCATAGATTGTAGCAAGGTACAGTACAGTATTATTACAGTTTAACAAATTTTTTTTCTTGAATTATTGCAACTGCCAAAAGTTAACACACTGCGCTTATGGAGAAAATAGATGGTGACATATTATTATATGTAATGCATATTTGTTCTCATTAGGTTGCAATTTGAAAAAATTGTAGAACTATAAATACCCACCATTGTCCATCCCTTCTTTCTTAATCCAGAGAATGGAGTTAGATACACAAAAGTCAAGACCGGATATAGAAAGCTTTGGGGCAGGAGATCCCAATTAACTATATACAAACTTCTGTCATAAACCGGAAGTCACGTTATTTCAATTTTAAAAATTTTCCTCCAAAAGAAGTTAGACAACTGGCACAATTCCATCGCTAAGGGAAAAGTATGACGTACGGGGGCAAGACGTTACAGTATTAACTTGAGATGGAGATGATATATTTGAAATTAAATAAATTAAAATTATTATTAAGAATTGCAGCCCGTCATTGTGACGACGTCATAATAAATAATTGCTCCTTTGTTTCTACAAGATTACGACATCCAGCGTATTAACTTTTTGCAGTTGCGATAATAATCTTATGGAAAAAAAAAAACATTTTTATATTTTATCCAACTTAGAGTGCGACTATGCAGACGCGAATTTGGAACGAGCGANTATGTATTTTTATTATTACATATAAATAAACGTAGTATGAAAGTATAGCCTATATTTTTTATTTTGGGGAGTCTCCAGAACGAATTAATCAAATTCCCATTAAAACCTATGGTAAATCGATAATCGGTTAACGAACAATTCGGATAGCGAACAAAGTCTTGGAACGGATTATGTTCGTTAACCGATCACCCACTGTATAAATATAAATTAATATCAATGATGAGAGTCAAAAACATTAATAAAAACTGTCAAGCCCATTTTTAGCAAAATCAGTAAATGCAAATTACCAGTGTTGTGAATATTTTTCTCTCTTTGAATCTGCAATATGATCATAATATTCAAACATTTTTAGCATAAAGTAATGTGAAAAAACAGAATAAGTTACAATAAAATTCTGAAATTTGTTATAAAAAGTAAGGAACCTGTTTGCAACAGTTTAATATCCTTCCTTAGAATGGAATGAATGTATTTATTAGAAGAGTAACTAATTTTAAAAGATAAAGCAAGAGACTTTTCAAAGCTTTTGAGAAAATTTTGTTTCTGGAAATTGATGCTGTGGCCATTGCTGCCAGAGATTCAGAAGACTATCTGGCAACATTATTCCTAACTGGCATTGGCTGGCAACACTCGTAAAAAGTGTGCAAAAGTTCGTTGCCTTGTCCATCTGTTGCTGAGGGGTATGAATACAGTTGCTCTGCTCACATGTAATAAAGTTTAGTTTGTTACAGTTCATGTAGTAGTGAAATTTGATTTAAATTTGGATCTCACAAATGTGTTGGTATTCAACTACCTAACGTTAGTATTTGAAAGAAGATCGGTAGGATAGAATGCCAAAATACTTTAGTACAGTTGACCCCTCTATAACACGGTAGATACGTTCCGGTTTTTATGAATCCATTTTGTACGAGTCCTTGCCAATCACAGCCTGGCACGTATGCACTTTATGGACTACGGCTGTTTGAAAGATTTTCTTCCATAAAATTAATCAATTCTAGATTAATTTGACTCAACATTTCCAAAACATGTATAATTTTTTGGGAATAATCCATATAAACTATGCTATAAACAAAAAATTGTAGGATTACTTACGAGTGTGCACCGTTTGACGTCGCCATTGCTTAAGCTTGTTTTAGTCGCGGAGCAGCGCACCAAACGGCGGCCGCGATTTCTGATAAGTTATTTTTCTGCAAAAAATTCGTTGACCTTTGGAGACATCATTAATATAAGTAATTTTTATGGCCGTTGAATAAGAAATGTTTCTTTCACAAGAAATGTATAAAATTACAGTACTGTATTAGACTTACAATACCTAATTTACATACTGTACAGATGATAGTAAACAACTTACTCGCCTAAACTCTCCATAGCATGGCGCTGGATGGCAGANTAATGTTTTACTAGTAGCAGAGCCGGCCCTACCGTAGGGCGATTTTTAATTAAACACGAGAACACTACTTAATGTTTCATTTTCACTGTCGTTCTACGCATTTTAACCGAAGTGAGAGAACGAATCTCGAATCGTGTCGAAGTATCCGTCCGTAAATTGGGATGAAAGTCTATTCCAGTCGTAGTCGGGTGAAAGGTCACTTCCGGGTGGCTGTGTCACATTCGATGGAAAGTCGAAATCCATGCAAGAAGGTAGAGAAGAGGTTTGTGTTTTCCAGCAGCAAAACACCTTTCCCACCAAGGCCTTTTACGCTCGACGGATTCTTCTACCATTTCTTCGGACTCCTTTCTGTCCAATCCCATCTCCACCATTCATTCCGGAACTTCGGAGAATCCTCTCTCAACAACGAGAACATTTTATTGTTGCATAGCGACTCAATTTAATGTTAAAAATTTGGATTTTGCAACGAATTTTTCTCTATCTCTCTATTTATAAAGAGAGTAACTTTGACTGATCATTGCACGAGTTTGTCTCCAGCCTTTTACTCGTCCTCACAGACACCAGCTGCTAAAATCAATTCACATAGACAGAGCCGTAACTAGCCATTCCTGTGCCCTGTGCAAGAATTTGCATTTAGGCCCCTTAATTTATCTGGTTTTGGGAAAATAATAAAATAAATACATTACGATTGATTTTTAATAAGATTTATTTTAATTGAATTTTTCTGGCTTTCATTNAATATATTATTATTATATGCAATAATAATTGATATTAGTCATAATATAAAAGCATAATATTTATTATTTGAAGTTACTGTAAAATTTGATTTACATAAAACACTTGCCTTCCAGGTTCCTAAACCGATTGCAGGAATTTTATAACCGTTAGAGAGCTGCACTCGAAGAACTCGACCTGCCATGATGTTATCCACACTTGCGAGTGAGTACATTGCGTTGACCTCGAACAAAGTTTATTTTATTTTACGAAAACTGATAATAAATAAGACGGAAAATTCTTAACGTCATTAATAATTGTGAATATGGGTCATTATGATGTAGCAGTTAACAGCCGTCTATTATTATGTTACAGTTCAAGGGATGGAAAAAAGTACAGAATAATGTTTTACTAGTAGCAGAGCCGGCCCTACCGTAGGGCGATTTTTAATTAAACACGAGAACACTACTTAATGTTTCATTTTCACTGTCGTTCTATGCGTTTTAACCGAAGTGGGAGAACGAATCTCGAATCGTGTCGAAGTATCCGTCCGTAAATTGGGATGAAAGTCTAGTCCAGTCGTAGTCGGGTGAAAGGTCACTTCCGGGTGGCTGTGTCACATTCGATGGAAAGTCGAAATCCGTGCAAGAATGCAGAGAAGAGGTTTGTGTTTTCCAGCAGCAAAACAACCTTTTCCACCAAGCCTTTTACGCTCGACAGATTCTTCTACCATTTCTTCGGACTCCTTTCTGTCCAGTCCCTTCTCCACCGTTCATTCCGGAACTTCGGGGTATCCTCTCTCAACAACGAGAACATTTTATTGTTGCGTAGAAACTCAATTTAATGTTAAAAATTTGGATTTTGCAACGAATTTAGTGATTTCCGTGTCTCTCTATTTCTAAAGAGAGTGACTTTGACTGATAATTGCACGAGTTTGTCTCGAGCCTTTTACTCGTCCTCACAGACACCAGCTGCTAAAATCAATTCACATAGAGTTAGGATATTCTCGAACGCTATGGAGCTGTCCATAAATTATGTCCATATTTTTCTTGAAATTTTTACTCGCCCTCCCTCTCTGGTCCCAGTTTGTCCAAGTTTCCGTAATCCCCTCTCTTCTTCGGACGTCCAACAAAACCTTTATCACTTTATGAATGATAGATGCTATAATTAGAAACGAATGATACAAGAATTTTAGAAATAAATATAATAAAATGTCCACTGAAGCTCAACCCCTCTCTTCTCTTTCCCTTTCTTCGACTTGTCTTAACCATTACGTTATTAGAGACATTATTATTAACAGTTATGAGGAGTGAGGAAAAGAGCAAAAATTCACAATGAAACAAAAATCAGCAAATTATGATTTGAAAAACATGGAATTCAGTAGCGAAAAAATAAAATTACATTAAAATGAGATCCGCTGCCTTTTGATAAACACGTTTTTAACATCAGCGGAAAAATCCTTAAAAATCCAGCAACGAGTTGCTTAACTTTTCAGGCAAAATTTCATGACTCCATCTGTTATAATATTTTATTAAAATCTTTTTATATTTTTAACTATTATAAAATGGCAATAAACTTAATTTCGGTGGGTAGGGATAGGTTTTATAATATATAAAAAAAAAAAAAAAAAAAA